AAGCTGTTATAAAAAAAATGGGTTTTCAATCTAGATGATTTAAGAGTGGACAACTCCAGTGGCTTCCTAATATCGGAAGGAAGAGCGTTCCAGACGGCCGCAGAAGCGCATCTGAAAGTGCGCGATGCGTTGACTGCCGTGCTTGTTCGAAAATTCATCAATGTACAGATGCATCATTAACATGCCTTTTGTCATGAACATGCCTCTTGTCTAGACTTGCATTGGCACGTTTGGCTCATTGCCATAACCGCCCCAACGCTGGACATGGATACACGTGTCGGTCGGGGGCACAGCGCAGCACAGGTGGCTCAGCGGTCAAGCGAGCGGCTCGCAGTCGGAGGGTGTAAGAGTTTGAATCCTGGTTGAGGGTTGACTCAGTGCATCAGCCCTCTGGGATCGATCAAATGAGTACTGCTTGCTTGAGAAGTCAACCAACAGTGGTTGTTCTGTGGAGAGACTCGCCCCCACCTTAGAAAGGTGGAATTTCCACCACTGGCCAAGGGCTGTAAACTAGAGATGACTGCTGCTGCTGCCTCAGTGGCCACTTGAGCAGGAAATGACTCTTGACTTTTTGACCATTAAGCTACCGAATGTTTCCACGCCCAAGGCCAGTCGAGGGTGAGCTGCCACTGCGTGTGTACGCACACGAGGACGTGCGCACTCGGAAAAAAAAAAATACAGACACCTGTGCGTGGATGGCCTCAAGGTAAATAGCAGGACGCTGGAAACAAAATGTGGCCGCTCTGCGTGAAGGCGACATGTGCAGTGGCTGCCCCCGCGAGACAAGCAGAGCGACCCCTTTTCGTATTTATCACGGGACCTCTCTTGCCACTATCAAAATATAAGAATAGGTTTTACCCTTTCCGGCATTAAACAAGTTGTGCAAAAATGTTAAAACACACCAAACTGAAACCTTTTGCAAGGAATCCTATCTGCGTTACCCACAATACTTGTGGTGAACATGCAAAAAAACACATGCTCTGGTAGTGCGTTGTTTGCCTTTTGGCATCATCTGGTCTTCCACTGTTTGAGACAAGGCTGTAAAGAAAACTGTCTCTGGTGTGGACCAATCAGTTTCAAAGGCAATGCATCATATACTATCAGAGCATGTTTTTGTTTGCATCTTCACCACAAGTGTATGTGGTTAATGCAGACAGGATTCCTTGCAAAAGGTTTCAGTTTGGTGTTTGAACGTCTTAACACAACTGTTTTATTGCCAGAAAGGGTAAAACCTATTCTTATACCTTTTCATATTGCCGCCCGACCTCCCCACGTCCGGATGTTTGCGTCGCGGTGACCTTCACCTGGAGTGGCCACTTCAAGGAGATTATTCAACGGTGCTGGCGTCATTCGGAAATTGGTGGTCGACCTTTTGTATTTTTAACCACAACAAATGATGTAATCGGCCTACGACAAAAATCGCCTGCAATATCTCGTCATATTTATAAAAGCTTAGCGGGCTTTTGAAGCCTGGATAATATTTGAGTGGGCAGCCACCAAGTAGAACACGACAGGGTATTGTGGGCTGCATGGCTGTGTTGTGAGCTAGAGGGGGCAAAACAATCCACAGTTGTCATTCATTATTATACTCCCTCACTTATGATCCCCACCTTCACAAACCCGCCCTGACCAGCGTGGTAAAAGTATGGACAAGTAATCACTGTGAGCTGCACGGCATGGGTAATAAGAGACATGGGTAACAATAATGCATCACGATGTTGACCAGTTCCACATTCATGGGTGTCTGGCTTGCGGGAGGACCAGAGAAAAACGCAAGAATACAAGAGAATAACCTAAAGCGCCGCGCGGATAGAATCAACAATCCATATCTGTACCGCAAAACTTCTGACAACCTCGCAGCTACTCCTGCAGCCACTTCATGAGGCCTCGATCAGCCACAATAATGCGGTGGGTATTTCATGGCCTCGAAAAAAAAAAGTAGCTCACCTCATATATCACTCATCTCATGTATTTATCAACATCAGTCCTTAGAATTGGGCTGGGCTGAATAAGATGTGTAAAACATTTGTCTGTAGCCATTGATTAATGGGTCGAGACCCTTTGACTCCCTGCATTTGAAAATCAGGTGGTTGTCGGCATACAAACCAAAGTTCTTTGCCGCGCTGGCTTAGTGTCCCGAGAGCATGCGTTGTCCCTCCGAGGCACCCAGCCACTTCTTAAAGTGTCACGATATTCAATCGGCGTATTATTCAGCTCACGTGATGTGACGGTGATTCTCACTTAGCTTAAGCGAAACTCTTTATCTGAGCCAGCTAACAGCAGATCATTCAAACTGTTGCAATGGCAGGCGCCATTCAAAAAAGCAACTCGGCAGCACTGTTTCAGGTCGAGATGTGTGCAACGTGGTGGTGAGATGTTAACTACCTCGCCTGGTATACAGGCGGCCGCAAGTTCGATCCCGACCCTGATGCCTGTATATCTGGAGTTTGCAAATCTCTCTTCCCGTGGCCACGTGGATTATTCTCCGGGTCCTCTGGTTTTTCCCTCCACATTTAGAAACATGTGGTTAGAGTATTTGGCTGCTATAAATTTCCACCCGATAAGCCACTTCGTTGAGCTATCATTGGTGATAGCCAAGTCGCTTCAGAAAAAGAGAAACACACCTCGGTGGGTCTTGCCTGGTAAAAACTAAAATAGTTGAATAGTTTTAGTTTTTAGTTCGAGAGGGGGCCAGATGGTCCGTGTTCATGAAAAATAGCGGACAAGTTAAATTGCCCATTGCCTATCTCCTGCTCGTGAGCAAACGCCGGGGGTAAACAGTCAGCCAGGCTTGCGTGACGCTTGCATTCCAGCAGGCCGCCTAGACAGTGCAGGCCCCCCACCGACTGGGGCGGTATCCTCGTCGGTAGCAGCGGTTTAACGCACTCGTCAAACGCCCGTCGACTTGTGCCAACGCTCGCCGTAGGGCCGCGAGCGCATCTTACAAAAACCAGAGAAGCGTACAAGTGCCTCCTAGCCGGGCCTTGAGCACGTGGCAGCAACTCAGTAACCGTAATTTGCGCTCTTGAGAAAGGGGTGAAAAAATGCCACCGATGTTAACGTCCCAAGAATGATTACTCGACTCATTGCCCGTGCAAGAATGCTGGGCTGTATTCGACCCTGAAAATGGGGAACGTTTCATTAACAAAGAGGATGATTTGTGAATTCCAAGTCCCATGCCTTGGTTGGCATGGGACTCGTGGTCAACAATAGAAATCATTTTAATAAATCACAACATTTGGGAGTGCTTCGAATCCCCTGCGATTAATACATGTGTAGTGACAGTGCGGAGCTATAGCGGGACAGTGTAGCTCCCCACGACCATGGTTACTAATGGACGAGTTAATGACGAGTTAACGAGCATTCATGAGGCGGGAGCCAATGGCGGGGAAGTGCTGCTAATGAACGAGTTAAGCATTCATAAGCCGGGATCAAATGGCGGGGAAATCTGAGAAAGACGTGAGCGGCAGGGCCAGATGCGGTGAGGAGGATTGAGGCTCAGGGTGTGGCCGGAGCGGGCGAGCATCAATAGCAGCGTGAGCGGAGGCTTGGGGCTGCTTGGTTTGGGGGAACTGCCGTGGTCGTCACCTGGGTTCGGGGCTTGGGAGCGAGATTGTCTCCCGATTAAGGTTGTGGCTCATCACCCGAGTGTACGGAGCCACGCGTGTTATGTGTCGAGTTGTTATTGGACTTTATTCTTCATAAACAGAGGACAAGACGGAGTCTCTGAGAGCTACAAGACACATGCGAGTTGCATACGTGAAATAGCGTACATAAGCATAGTTTAATGTCTGATGCTATCTATCGACACACGCATGATGTAACAACAATACGTTATATTCACGTACAATGTGGAGGCCATTCGACCAATTCGGTTCGTGTTTGTTACAAATCTGCTATGTGTTGTTTAAGTTCAAGAAAGCGGCAACTTTGTACAAAACGTAATTCGAAGATTGTTCTCAAGGTCCCAAACTTGGCTGGAATTTGGGGCCGACAGCAAACTCAGATACAAATATAGTCTAAGCTGCTAAAAGTTCGTACAACTAAGCCACTGAGAAACCAAGCCAATGAGAAAACTATTTTTTTTCCACGTGTGAGCACAATGTAGCTCACTTATCACTCATGTCTTTATCCATTAGGCCCACTGGGTTGGCAATCGTGGCAGAGAAATGTTACACCCACCTACTCTGCTTGGAATGCATGATCCACACCATAGTGCTTGGAGTCTGTTCTCCTCCATTCACAAGTCTGGATCCTTGGTTCCCTGGCCACACTACTCTACCATGCCTCATTTTTTTATTTACCAGGTATGTGTGCTTCTTCCACGCACTGGTACCAGAACGTCAAACGTTCGGGTCGCTGGTCTGGAACATTCCCTACGAGTTCAACGAGTCAGACTTGCGTATCAGCGCACGGCAGGTTCAGTTAATGCGGCGGGTTCGTAATGTATGTATGTTGAACTTCTTTCGCACCGTACGTAGCCAACCATCCCAATCAGAGGTGCGGGGGAGGGACAATAAACTAAACAATGTATGATGTTGAAGTTCTTCAGCGCTGTAAATAGCCAAACGTGCCAATTGGAGGTGCGGGAGAAGGGCAAGAAACAAAACGATGAATATGTGTGCATGTTGAGTTTCTTTCGCACAGTACATAGACAACCGTGCTAACCGGAGGTGCGGGAAGACAACAAATTAAACACAAAAAGCAGCTTTTAAAAAAATTAGTTTGTCAATATAGATGATTTCGAATTGCATCGCTCCAGCGGCTTCCTAATATCAGAAGGAAGAGCGTTCCAGACGGCCGCAGAAGCGCATCTGAAAAGCCCGCGATGCGGTGACCACCGTCTTGTTTCGCTGGTTTGACAAAAGCCGCTGCTGCAAGGATGACCGGAGTCCGCGTGAAGCTTTATGCTCCTTGACGAGATCAGCGTGGCATTGTGGTTCATTGTGGCAAGCACTTTGTGTGTAATGAGTGGGACCTTACAAGTGAAGTTGACTTACTGGTTGCTTAAACTTGTGGACGGTGAACTCTCCATTGGTGGGGTCAGGCTCACTGCCATCGGACAGGGCACTCATCAAAGCCACCAGTGACTTGGGCACAGACACCTGGAACACGGGGACAGAACAAGAATCACTCCTCTTGCATTGTAAATGCGACGTCAACAGTGGCCACAAGCATGTTGTCCATTAAATCGGTTTACATACGAGTAGCCCCAAAAGTTAGTCGACAAGAGGCAGACACAGTTAGCTATTTGCAATTAACTTCTATTCACATCAAAATAGCGTGATCTTGAATTTATTATCATAAACATGCACCTATCAAAGCGACAAGGAAGGAATTGACAGAAAATGAAATAATAAGTTTCACTCAATCTCGGGAAAATCATTTTGGGCCACCCCGTGTATGCGAGTCACTGGCATTGTGGCAAGAGCACTCAATGCACCATTGGCAGCTGTTGAGATCAAATCTTGTTTGTGGGTTGACTCAGCCCATTCCAATGCAGCCACGGACCCTGCCACACAATTGTGGAATTACCACCGCCAGCTCCAGATCACCAATGGAGATGCATACAACCCAATGCTCAATTGAGGATGGATGGCGGCGCTTTCATTTTTTGGATTGGCATACGTACGTGTATTAAATTCTGGCCTGTGTGGAATGACCTTCAATGTATTTTCCATCCGCCTCTTCTCTTTCCATTCGCGCAACACAAAGGTCAGAAATGTGGTCGTTGTATCCCTCCGACAGGCCCCTTCATTGCCCCTATTTTTGTGTTGTTGTTTTTCTTTTAGCAGGTAAGGCTCACTGAGCTATGTGGCTCTTCCCCCAAGCGACCTGGCCACAGATGATAGCTCAACAAAGTGGCTTATCACGTGGAAATTTACAACTGCCAAATACTGTAAATGCATGTTGATTATAAATGTGGGGGGAAAACTCTGAAAACTCAGAGAAAAACATCCACACGCCCACGGGGAGAACATGCAAACTCCAAATATACAGCAGGCGCCAAGGTCAGGATCGAACCCACAACCTCCTGTATACCAGGTGAGGCAGTTAACATCTCTCAAACAGGCTCCATCTCATTCTTTGGGTCTTTCGGTGAAGCCACGTAGATAGGTTCAAAGAAAATAACAAAAAATGACAAAAAACTACGTTTCGACCACAACACAAGCGATCGTTCATAATCAACGATTTTTGGGTTTAGATCGCGTTTATTTATAAATGTGTCGTAACCCTCCACCACCCGACACGGCCAATCAGTAAAAAATGTGTCACGTTGACAAAGACAAATAGTTCACTGCTTTAGCCCACCGGTGTGTTGAAGCAACAACATTCACAATTTGAGTACGACGTTTCGCTGGTAATTACAACCAGCATCATCGGGCAATTCGCCAGAATGGTGAGGCTCTCCTGTGTCTCCCGTTCTTATATAGAGCAGCAGCAGGATGACGTCATCATTAACTCATTAACTCATCAGGTGCAAAGATTCAAGGGGGGAGTGATTGTAATTATATACTAGATTAGTAATCAGGCTATTGTTACGATGCGAGTTGTAGATTAGTAATCATTTGGAATGTGTTTTATTGTGATTATGCTACATTAGTAATCTGTTAGTGGTTGTTTCCCTTATAAGTAATTGTAATGTATCTTATTTAATAATACGCTTCCAGGCCGCAGAGGCAGACTGTTTTAAAGGTTTAAAATGGGTGTAGCCCAAGGGTCATAACCAACGTGGGCAGGGCTAGTGATGTTAATGTGAGAAATCGGAGGGCGATTTCCACGACGAGGGTGTGGAGGTGGCATGTTAATGTGAGAGATTAGCATGTTAATGTGAGAAATTTGCCTGTTAATGTAAAAATTGGAGGGCGATCTCCACGACGAGGGTGTGGAGGTGGCTATGTTAATGTGAGAAATTAACATGTTAATGTGAGAGATTGGCATGTTAATGGGAGATCGCAGAGCAGCAACATCGAGCTCGGCGAGCGAGGTGGCTGTGTTAGTGTGGGAAATTTAACCTGTTAATGTAAAATCAGAAAGCTGAAAATAACAACTAACATTGGAAGGTGGTAAGATGGGAATATTATAGTTAGTTACGACTTAACCTGGTTGATAACGTCCTTCCAATGATTGCTCGGTTTATACCCATCATCTCAATTGAAGTTGTGTCTGTGTCTGTATATATGGATGGCTTCATGAACGAATCTTTGTTGATAGCCAGTGGGTTTGCAAAGTACCTTCGTCTTAGAGAAATCAATTTCGTGTGAGCCGACCGCAGTAAAACAATGATCAGCCACAGCCGAGGTATTGGTCCTACCATGTTTCAAATCTGCCTTGTGTTCACGAACACGGTCCGAGACATGTCGCTTAGTTTCGCCAATGCAACTGTAGTGACATCGTTGAATGTCACTAATGTGAAGCCGGCCTGGGAGTGGCACGGCATGCGATGTATTAACATCGCGGACACCACTTAAATGTAGATGCAGTGCAGGCCCTAGCGGTGCTCGGTGAGCACTGACTAACAGTGATGGATGGCACCACACTCTGCAGTGCAGTACCAGCCCCTACAGGATAGGATGCGAGAGTGCCGGGCATGGAATGGGGTTACAAGTGGCCATGGCACTCTGGTTGACCCCGGAGGACACATGACCGGTTGCAGCTACACTGGGACCCCCAAAGGGGGGCTAGGGGTGATCACGTGTCCAGATCGAGATCCTCCTCGAGGATTCGAGAAGGTAGTCGTGGCGAGGGGCGGAACGAGCCACGCCACAGAGGATAAAAGCCGGGTCCCCCAGTGGAACCAGCTGCTGTTGTTCATCTTCAAGATTCCACGTTCTACATCTACAGACTCCCCAACACGTGGACCCGGGCCTGAGCTGTGGTCCGGTCCGTTGCAGCTAGTTACGGTGTAACTAGTGCAGTTAGCCTGGTGGTCACAACCATACGTTGTTATTCTGTTAAGGGGCAGTTACCCCGTTTGTTGGTGTTAATAAATGTGTTGCCTCCAAAGAGTACGTCTGCGAGTCAGTTTGAGCCCACTGCATAACTACTGCCGCAAACACAGCTTAGTTTGTAGACGCCGGGGTATTGCATGGCAGGGATCAGATCCTTCACAGATGGGATCAGATCAAGAATTTTACGTACTATGTTAAATCGAACCTGGATCTTGTGTTTGCTCAAGATCTTTTTGGTGACCCCTGCTATGTATGGCAAGGTGATGGTTTTGATTGGGTCCTCAGATGGTTCTTTCCCAAAGGTTGGGGTGATAGCTTTACGAATTGTGTAGTCTGAATATCCATTCATCTTGAGAGCTTGGTGTACGCGTTTCAGTTCACTGGCTAGATGAAGATGGTCGGAAATACATCGAGCTCTATGGTGCAGCATCTCAGGGTAATGAGCTCACTCCTATTTGACAGGAAGCAGTGCCCACTAGGCATCTCGAAATGCACTTAAATCCCTCGGTACAGCTGGCGTTTTCATTTACACGGTCGCAGATGGTGCATACCATTATGGGTCAAACATTTCTCTGGGTTTTGAGATCCTAACAAAAAGATATCCGATTGCCCCTGCATAACTCAATTGCTCTGCGATGGGGAAGAGTTGAATTAATTGACGCGCCGGTATCAGCGCTCCGAAACTCATAGTTTAGTTTGGCAGTCGTCTCTTATGTGAGCATGAGCACGTGTGTGGCTATTTAAGGTCGTGACTCCGCTTACAGAATGATTTACTTAAACGCCATAATTTGGGTATAAATAGAGCACGGTTTCCATTAGACCCGGCCAAGGCTTTGGAGCAGCAGTAGGCCCAGTAACGCCGTCCGCGCACGCAGCGGTCAACTGCTGTCAGGTAGCTTAGGCACGCTAGTAGCACAGTTTATACAGTTTACAGCGGCGTAAAAGCCCACTTAAGGCTTACACAAACAAGCATATAAACAAACTGTGAGGGCTGCGTGTAGGCGGTTGGAAAAGGAACACTCTGATGAATGCACAGAGGCAGGTGTCGTCACACAAACAAAGTGACGGAAAACTGATTGAATGTTCATCCATGTCAATAAACAGATGGTTGCGGAATCTTAAACGTGCAGTGCTTAACAAGCGTAGCCTTTACCCTAAACATGCCTGGTCATTGCTATGGCACCAAAACAAACTTATTAGAGCAAAAAAAAATAGCCTTGCAAACATTTTAATCCAATTCCTTACAACTACAGAATTAGACGGTGACATTTGAGGTGGCTGGGGGGACTCAGGGGGGGGCGGCTAATGTCTCGGTCAGAGAATTTAAATCGGCACCACTAATATCTTGGGTTCGAAGATAGGCAGCCACACAAGGTTAACGTTTCTAGCCTCAGCTCAATCATCAAAGGCTACACATTAAACTCACAGAGTTTAATAGCTAAGAGCAGATTTAAAAAATCCTGTTATGAAAGTGTAATTCATTATGAGGATGCTCTGGTGGTGTAGTGGTGAGCACACTGGACATGCAATCCGCAGGTTGTCGGTTCGATCTCTTGGCACGGCAGTTAAAAACAAATGCAAGTTTCTCAAATCCCTCCGCATCTGTCCACCCAGCAGTGTCAATGGGTATCATGACAGTTAATCGACTGGCGGGTCACGAGTGGTGGGATAAAGTGTGGGTACTCCCACCTATTCCAAGATATCTGGCGAGCGTGGAAGAGTAGGCCAATCATACCCTATAGAGGGGCTCTCTAGAGCTCCCTTCATTGGAGGCCCTTCCACTAGTATAGGTGAAAGCACGCAGACACGGGGCTGCACTTTTATTTTTACCAAGAAAACATGCTTAATAATTCACCGTGTCTTAAATGTTATGTGAAAACAAATTGACATGTGGCTGTGATTTTTTTTCCTTAAAAAAATAAGAGCCGGATAAACAGAGCAAGAAGGCACCACCTCGAACACCGCACGTTTATTTTCTCGAAAACGTTTAAACTGACGGGCGGCAGTAAACACCGCCTGCGCAGCCTGCATCAGGATCAATGCCCAGGCAGATACCGCAGAGGTCACGGTGGCCGGTCACACAAGTGCAGATCATGCCCGACAAAGATTCACGCTTTGATCCACGTGCCTCGTTTCCCTTGACTCCCACGTCAAAAGGTGGGGGCTGGCAAAGGTCTTGTCACGGGCTCCATCTGATTGGCCACCCACAGTCACCTGACTGGAGGGTGTGTCTGATCACATGATAATTGCGACTCGTTGTGATTGGTCACCGACGCTTTTTAATTTCCACTCAATGGGCACCGGTCAGGAAGCCAACAGCCCCCCCTGATGAAGACTACAGCTCAGCGGTTCAAAGGTGGAGATGAAGCATTTTAATGTTTCAGGCTGAACCTTCCACTTCTGTTTGTGCTCAACAGCCGATTTCTTGACATGCGAGAATACATAACGTATTCCTCCTAATCATGTTCTGAAACTATATTACTCAAATAAGAGTATTTATCTGAGCAAACTCATCCAAGGTATTTCAGGAAGCGCACCTTCCAGCTAAGAGAATGACAGCGATGTGACTCCAGAACTCGTTCCGTTTGTGTCATCTTCCCGAGAGTTCCATAATAATGTTTCTTAACCTCATGCCATGACTCCAAGAGCACACTGGTATGCCTAAAAAGTCTATTTCTGAGATATACCAATTGTGTTAGAACGACTCTCCATGCCAAAATATTGTTTCCATTCTCTAAGTTTGTGGGACTTGCAGACAATGTTTATCAGCAGCATTTGTTTAAGCAGGTAAACTCAGAACCGGTTTTGACTTTCTGAGCCTCATCAGAAGTCAGTCCCTTAAACAAACGCTGCTGCTCCGTGCCAGGTGTTATTTTCGACAACAATTCAATCAGCCAGACACCATGAACCCATAAACCTGCTGAACACAACTCTTGTTTATAACGGGCGTTAGAGGCGTCACTCTGAATTCGGTTTATTGTTTTATCATTTAACAGTCCAGCAAGAATAATAAATGGCAACCTGTCTGACTGATTATGGTTGCGCCAGCACAGCCATTAATTACTTGCCACAGCAAAAAAAAATTGGTAATTCAACTGCAATAAAAAATACTAAAATATAAAGTGTTAAGATTCGAAATTCTCATCGTGATCCGAAAAAAAAATCTACGCGAAAAATATTTGCGACCGAAAAAAATGAGGTAATCCATCGTGTGTAATTTAACCCGTAGACTGCGCAGTGTCAGTGTAAGAGTTCACAACTGGTCTCAGAGAGGGCCTTAGTGGTGGAGGTGCTGGTGGAGGTGCTGCTTGCGAGTGCACTGCGGTGGATTTCACTCGGGCACCGCTGCGTCGTTACCTTGGCATCGTAGGTGAACTTTAGCGACGGGGTGTCCTGGCAAGGGACCATGCTCCGGCAGTGAATTGCCTGCAGAGACAGAGTGGCGGTTTGCGTGAGTATTGCAGCTGTCGACACTCGATACACATTCACGTGGCATTTTCCTCCGGGTCCTCCGGTTTTTCCCTCCACCTTGAGAAACGTGCGTTTAGAGTATTTGGCTGCGAAACATTTCCACGTGATGATAAGCCACTTCGTTGGGCTATCATTTATGGTCAGGACGCTTCTGAAAAAGAGCTACTCTGTATGTAGCTCAGTGGGTCTTATCTGGTAAAATAAAAAATAAACTTTAGTTTTCGCTTTAATAGTTTTGTTTACATTATAGCTTCTAAAGATAAAGATGCTAAAATTCGTAGTTGTATGGTGAATATGCAGCAGTGTGGTGTGCAGTAGGGTGGGTAGAATAATACATAGTGTAATATTACATAAATATGCTAAAATTCCTCTTGATATGCAAATTATTTTGCCAAGGCGCTCTTCCTCCTCCCTCCCAGCTTAAATAGATGCTCCAAGCCCAGGACGTGTCATTCAGACTCTGTCTTATCGACAGACCTGTTCTTCACCTGAGGGCGGCTGCTTGCGTTGTGGCCGAAACGTCATGAGAATTATTTTATTATGTTTCATTGTTATTATTTTATTATTTCCATTCTACGTAACTTTACCGAAAGAACCAAGAAGATCTTGTTTTCTTTTTGGGAAGAGTCCCGTCCATGTCAGTGGCTCTTCAAGTCAAGCATCTTTCCAGGCAGGGATCTGCCATCGCATTTTGCATTTAAATACAAACATTAAAGGCTCAACGGGGATAGGGCTGGTCTAGTCCTTAGTGTGCAATCCCATTAATCCTACTGGTCATCTGTGAAAAAGAGCTTCATAGCTCATCGGATTTCTCCAGGGATAAATAAAGATTCTGAATCCGGCAACTTGAGTTCAACTCTCAGCCGCAGCTAACATCAGTGGTGAGTAATATCTGAACGGGTCCTGGTGTCCCCTTTTAGGTGTAGCCACGGAAGTAATTAACCACTTGACGAAAGCACCGCTGTGCAGCTGACAAAGAGCCAAGGTGGCCTAATGAGATGTCACAGCAAACATTGACCTTGAACAAATACATTTATAATTTGATACAACGAGAATCAATACATTGCTGGAAGAAGGCACCCCCCTTGGCCATGTGAGTCATAGGGGTTTGCTTTAACCATTCCTTAGCGTGCTGGTCATCGTGGTAAAGGGTGGGTAGTAGGGGGTGGGGTGGTGGTTCTGGGAACAGTCCAGAAAACACTCGACCACTGATGTTAGCCGTGTCAAAAAAAAATCGAGTTAAGTGTTCGTAGCATAGTGCGCAAATCATTGCGGAAACTGCTCCACACCGTGTGTATAATACGCCCGAGTGATTGAATGAACCGACTGAATGGGAGTATCTTTTCAGTGAGAGATCGTTGTACTCACAAAAGATTTCTTAACAACTACGCTTCACTTGATGTACCCCCTGAAATGGCCTTTCACAGCCGCAAACGTGTTAATGGGACCGCTTCGGCCTCGTTAAACTTTAACGCCGTGTTACGTAAGTTGACAGAACATTAAATGAGCGGTAACTCGGAAGATACAATCATTGACGATTCTACCGGCCAAAGCTGGAAGGCCACAGGTGAGTTCACTCGCCAATGGGCCAAGTTGCAAGGAGTCAACAGTTTGGAATGACGACGACAAGCTAAACCATCTACAGCTAGACGTTAAAGCTCCTGAGTAACATTAATGATATTTGCACGTATTAATGTCATAGTCCCATAGCCCATCATGATCAGCCGTGGTCAATCCACTACAGGGTTATAAGCCTTGATCCTGTGATATAATAATTCCCACCTGCAGGTATATTGAACTTCTATTGCACCGTACACAGCCAACCGTGCTCATCCACGGAAGGACAACAAACTAAACACCAAAAAAGTTGAAAAGAAATGAGACTTCAATCTAGATGATGCAAAAGTCCAGTGGCTTCCTAATATCGGAAGGAAGGGCGTTCCAGACGGCCGCAGAAGCGCATCTGAAAGCGCGCGATGCGGTGACCGCCTTTGTTAAATGGCCAGCCTAAAAGCCGCTGCGAGGATGACCGGAGTCCGAGTGATGGTTTGTGCTCCTTGGCGAGATCGGGAAGTTGGGACAGACGAAGTCTCCTCCATGTCGTTCAGTGGCCGATCCAGCCCCCAAACACTCCCCCCCCACCATCCCCCTTGTTTATCCTGGCCTGTACAGGTGGGGACTTGCCTTATGATTGTTTTAATTAATCATCATCATGATGATCCATGGGCAGAGAGACCCAAGAAGTGTCCATTGCACATTCCGTTATTTGTTTCCACTTTCCTCGTCTGTCTTGTGCCAACATGCTCAAGAGGTGCCACATCTCTTACGTTGTCAAGCCATTCTCTGTTAGGTCTTCCTCTCTTTGTTCTAATTGCATTGTTTTTAAAGGTTTTATTGGAGAATAATCGTTTGTGTGCAGGGGGTCTTGGTTTTTTAAAGTTGCCTTTAAATAAATGAATGTGATTGATTGAAGAAAGATGATGATGATTTTGGCAACTCCAGCACGCAACTCTCACGATCCCATTGTAAGCATCAACCATGATTCGTGGTTGCGATTCCGTTCAAGGACAATTTCTCACACCTCACTATTCCCATCTCGTTCATATTGTTTCTTGCTCGTACTGCCTTCTCGTTGTTTCTTCTCGTTTTTTGCAACTTGTTCGTTACGCAAGCCAACACGCAGTATCCACACACAATGTGTACAGTTTCCCCGCTTTATTTACAAACCTGCTATCCACGATGTTAGCTATCCACGAATCACATTTGGAACTCTACACGATTGCATCGAGAGAAAGAAAGAAAGGTGAGATAAAGCGATGAGAAATAAAGTGATGACATTAAGTGATGAGTTAAAGTGATGAGAGTGACGAGATAAAGAAATTAGATAATCTAGATTCTAACTTTTTGTGGACCAATTTCATTTTCCGCGAAATTTGCCAATCACGAGCATCACCGGAATGTATCCCTCGCGAAGAATAAGGGATCCTCTCATACACTTTGCATAAAATGCTGCTTGTCAATGTTCCCATGCACGGTGTGCCGCGTGTATCGCGAGCTTTAAGATCGATGTGAACCATTGAATCGAGGTACCGGTAAGACGGACCTCGCTAGGAACCCCCCACGGGGACTTTACCCACACAACTCTGTTCCGCAATCTCCTTCCCATAACTCCACCGCCACCGTGTCCCCCACGCTCCAATACCGTTGTTTCTCCAGAGCTCGTTGCCGCTCAAGTGACAAAATGCTGGGCGCGAGCTTCTTGAGGGTCGACGTTTCATACGTCGGAGCGGTACCCGGCCCTTGACATCTTCTTCTACGTCAATACACCACCGCCTTCTTCTTCACTGCGGCTGTGAGAGAGATCCCGTGACAGGTCCCGGAGGACAGCAGGCCATGCGTGCGTGCTGGCGTCGCGGCCCAAATGCGCCAGCTACAAAATGATTGCTCGCAAGTTCGTAGCTTGGGTAAAACCGGGCAGCAGCATCGCACCCTAATGGCAAACTATAGTCGTCTATGAAACACAGAGCTTTTGTGATCAGCTTGTGCTCTAAGAATCGCACAATTGCCAAATGTACTTACATCTTGTTATTATTATTATTGTGGCCAATGAAATGAAAGGAAGTATAAGGAGTGTGGAGAGCAGTGTGGGGAAGGTGACGACACAACTGATCAGAAATCATCCGCATGGTTCACAGCCAAGATGCCTCAGCGAGGCACTGGGAAGTGGTAATTTCACTCGTCCACTCGACCAGTCGTGGAAATTCCACATTTCTATGGTGGGGGCCAGTATATCGAGGAGACAACCATTACAGACTTCCCACAACGTGGTATTCATTTGGTTGATTCTGGAGAGAAATTATACACCCGAGTTAATCTGCAACCAAATGTGTAAAAACTGTAACTTGGGGGATATCAGATGACGTTAATGTGTTGGTGGTTTTTGATTAGAGCTTTGCTGATGATGCAAGCATAAGTATCTCGTTTGCCCATGCGCTGCATCATTTTACCAATTCGCTGCGCTTGGAGTGGAAACAAATGGCGCACGGTGTCAAACGAAACTTTGGCGCAGCCGCCAGCCGAAAGCCAAACAGGGGAATGAATGAAAGAAACGGGGCCCTCAATTAACAATCGCGGCCTCGCCCGTCCTCGCACGGCGGGGCCAGACGGCAGCCGAGAGACAATGCCAGCATTGTTGCAGCCGCGACATTGGCACGAACGCTATTAATGTTGTAACTCCACACAAGGGCTGAGGGGCTGCCTGTTGGACCACACTTCCAAATATCTGTCTTTACCACCCTGATATCTCAATCGACCTGTTATGCACGGGAGTCAGAAGCTCACTGGCGGTTACAGACTACCAATTTAAATCGACGCACATACGGGTGTTCATGGCTTGCGAATTAAAGGGTCAGCTTTCGACAAAAATACCTGCGAACGAGTAAAGGCGTTAAGCGTATACCCATTCAGCACAGCGGTGCAAATGCAACTGGCTAGGGACTGTGGGACAGGTGGATGTTGTGAAAACATTTGATATGTGAACACCGATAATAAATAAATAAAATGACAGTAAACTATGGGCAAATACAGCACTGGGTGGGGATGGTTAATTGCTCTGGGCAGATATGTGACTGCCGGATATCTGACTGGCGGATATGTGACATCGTGCTGCACTGACAAAAGCAACGAGCGGTGCGCTCATCTTCTCTGATGGCACTAAATTCCCTTGGTGGACATTCAACATGCCTCTGGCTGGGACCGGTCTGTCCAAAGCATGAGAGCACTGTTGACATCCCACGGTGCGGTGTCTAATCGACCCGCCAGGGACGATGGGCGGAGTTGGCTCAGGACCGGGGTGCGAACTCAGAACCTTTCAACGAGCGAGCCACTCTGCCACTGGGCCACGCGGCCATATCACAATCCATTATAAAAGCTCGGCGTTCCGTTTGTCCGTTATT